ACTCATTCTCTCTGTCTTCCTCTTTTTCAGAATAAAACAAGCCACATTTAAAAACAGGCCTTAGGAAAGATGTATGCTTGAAGTCCATGTTTTTAAAAGAGGCAAGACAGTATAAAAATTGGGGAGACTTCAACAACAAGCGCACATGAAAAGAACTCCTTCTGTTCTCTTCCCACACAGAAAAGAAAGAATTCCAAGTGGAAAATTACTTCAAGCTATCATATAATGTTGCAAATACCATTTCAGAGTATTGATGGAATTCATAGCAAATCAACCTTATTCTACCTCCAAATCACATACTAATTGCTAACTATTGAAACAATCTTTACAGGGGTGGGATTCTACCAGTTCGCACCTATTCGCTAGAACCGGTTGTTCACATTCTAAGCAGTTCAGAGAACTGGTTGTTAGAAGAAATTACTGACCTAATCCTGTAAGGAAGACAGGAAGGACACATTCTGGTGTTGCTTACAGAAACTGCCTCTCCATTAACCCTTATTACATTCTTGGCAGGGCTAGAATTCCTGTCTCTGGAACTTCTCTGGAGTTTTTTTTTTCCTCCTTTGCTGGTACTTTGCTTGTATGGAGTGACCATTCAAAGTTACAATGAAAACTGAAAAAAGTGTGTTATGACCATTTTTCATACTTACTACTGTTGCAGCATCCCCACATTCATGAGAGGCCAGGCAAGGAGATGAGTGCTCAATGTGAGTGATATTGAGTTGGCCATGCCCAGCCAATAACCTGACCACCAAGCCACGCCCACCAACTAAGTCACGCCCACAGAACCAGTTGTTAAAAAATTTGAATCCCACTCCTGAATCTTTATTTTTAGTGAAAGCCAGCCTGATTCTATTCATGTATTATGTACTTAAGATAAATCCCACTAAGTCCAAAGAGGATACTTTCAAAGTAATTGCATAGAATAAGTTCCATCTGGGGGGAACAGACAGCTGTAGCACTTTTCACATGCTTTACCTAAGAGTAGAGGGGGGAACTCAAAACTAAAAAATACAAATTGGGCTAAACATGGCATTCCTAGTGTTCTTTTCTTTATATATATTGAATACTGAAAACTATCAGGGATAAAAACATGGTTAGCACACACTAATTCATCCAAAATTATACTAATATTCCTATTAATCTCATCCATACATGCAGCAATTATGGGAAAAATCCAACAAAATGAATTTTTGTCCCAACTCCTGAACTGAGCCTCCAAGATGATATAACACTAACTTTCTCCCAAAGGTGCCTTTTCAAGAAGCAACTGGGCTTTCTTTATTTTTCCTTGAGGACATTGCACTTCTCATCCAACAAGTTTCTTCAGTTCTGACTGAATGGTAGAGAATGGAAAGATTATATTCCCTGCACTCTTTCTGAGAGTCATTGAGGCCACTTGGAGGTTCATCTAGCCCTTCCAAGTGGCCTCAACAAATCTCAGAAAGAGTGCTAATGACCAGTTGACTTCAAGGATCTTTCCATTCCAAACCATTCAGTCATAACTGAATAAGCTTCCTGGGTGAGAATTGAAACGTCTTCAAGCAAAAGTCCAATTGCTTCTTGAAAAAGCACCTTTGGGACAACCATGACTTGGATGACTAAGAATCTCCATAGACACAACTTCATCCTTATTCTTTGAGTTTCCAAAATTATGCACCCTTTATTTAAAACACAAAGAGAAAAAGAAAGAGATCTAGACAAAAATACCCTTTTGGAGCTATCCAAAAACAGTACTTTTCATTTTGTTATGTCGACATCTGTGATTACATATTCAGCTGAGCTAGACAGTAACACAGTTTCTCAGTTGTACTTTGACTTATCTTTTTTTGCACATGATGAAGCAAAAAAAGGAATTATGGACCATTTTCAATTTTACCCACTGCTAGCAAATATCCCTTTGTGAGAAAAGGTCTAATGAAAGGATTTAAAAAGAGACAGAGAGAGAGAGAGAGATTTAACAATTTATTCCTATACAGTACCTTATTTCTAAAGTATTCCTATTCTACAACACACCGTTAGGATTTATATGTCAGGGTAACTGCTATTTGATTCTTTGAAAAGAAGTAGTAGCTGGCTATTTCTGTATGAATAATATAATACTGTGGAATGAAAATCAATTCTTAAAGAAGCAATTTCTTGAATTCATAGAACTAAATAAAGATGCTTGCACTCAGATAATAATGAGAAAGTTGATACTGCAGTAAAATATTAGCATTTAAAATTCTGTATAATGAATTAGAATTATTTGTAATAAGATGTTTTTGATTAGTTTTAAGTGTTTTTTTTTTCATTCTTCTTTTTCCTCAATAGCCAAAACAAAAATAAAAAATTATCTTCAGCTATTTGAAGATATACAATGACTATGGCACCAGACTTACCCAGATAGATTCATCCATCAGGAGTCCATTCAATAGAAAACCATCTACATTATGGGCTCATACTGTTGCATCACTGATGGGATTCAAAACTTTTTACTACCGGTTCTGTGGGCGAGGCTTGATGGGCGTGGCAGGGGAAGGATACTGCAAAATCCCATTCCCTCCCAAACCTACTAACCTGCTTTCCAGCTCCATTCTCCAGTACAGGGCAACAAAAGAAGACCCAGCCAATCAGCTGGGACTCAGGAGGCAGAGAATAGATGGGGTGTTTAAACAGTCAGAGGTGGTATTTGCCAGTTTTTCGAACTACTCAAAATTTCTGCTAACAGTTCTCCAGAACTGGTCAGAGCCTGCTTAATACCACCTCTGTGTTACATCCTTTGCATCCTGTAATGGGGGCATCAGGACGGCAGCAGGGAAATCATCACTTAATCAAATCACTTATTATAACATCATAAATTAGAGACTTCTCAATATATTTTATAACTAAGTTACTGTATTCTCATTCAATTCATTTTACTTTATTGGCCAAGTGTGATTGGACACACAAGGAATTTATATTGATGCAAATGCTCTCAGTATACATAAAAGAAGATACATTCGTCAAGAGTCAAGAATCATAAGATAAAACTTAATAATAGTCATAGGGTACAATAAGCAATCATATCATACTAAGAAACAATCAATATAAATCATAAGGATACAAGCAACAAGTCTTTATTTTAAAATAAATACTTAAATGCTGTTTAAAATTTCATTTAGCCAACAACTAAAGTTATCGCTAACTAGACAGGAAGTACTATTAAAAATGAGATTACTTTTGAATAAAACTTGATTCAATTATAGGTCATAAATATGCAAGAAATAACTCATATAAGGAAAATGTTAAAAAGCTGCTCTGAGCTCATAGAAGAACATACAGAGATTCATACAGTTCTAATTCAATCTATCCAAAGCTTTTATCAGAAAATTAGGGTGTTTCCTTTATAGGAAATATGAAGAGTTCATGATGGAATGTTGTAAATAATTAAGCTATCAGTTTAAAAATACTATATTAGTAATCACTATGAGAAGGATCTTGAAGTCCCAGTGGACAATCACTTAAATGTGTGTTGCAGCTGCCAAAAAAGCCAACACAGTTCTATGCTGCATTAACAGAGGGATAGTATCAAGATCAGATGAAGTGTCAATACCACTTTAGAATGCCTTGGTATTTAGAATTTTAGTATTTATTTGATTTGTCAATTGCTTACAAGATACAGGTATACGAATAAATATAGTTTTGAATACATGAGATAGATACTTATAAGAAAAATAAAAAACAATACCACACTTAGAATATTGCATCCAGTTTTAGTTACCATGATATAAAAAAGATGCTGAGATTCTAGAAAGAATGCAGATTAGACCAAGTATGATGATTATGGGATTGGAGACTAAAGCATGGCAAGAATTGAGCACATCCAGTTTAGTGAAAAGGACTAGAGTGACATGATAGCAATGTTCCAATATTTGAGGGGCTGCCACAAGGAAGTAGAGGTCAACCTATTGCACAGAGTACCTGAAGGCAGGACAAGAAGCAATTGATGGAAACTAATCAAGGAGAGAAACAACCTAGGAAACATTTCCTGACCGAACAATTAATCAGTGGAACAAGTTGCCTCCAGAAGTTGTAAATGCTCCAGCACTGGAGGTTTTTAACAACAGATTGGACAACCATTTGTCTGAAATGGTATAGGGTTACCTGATTGAGTGGGAGTTGGACTGGAAGACCTCCAAGGTCCCTTCCAACTGTTATTCTGCTATTCTTCTAGAATAAGGGATGTCTGAAGTTGAAGAACTTATTTTCATCTGGAACTTAATACAGTACAATATCAAAAGTCTTTAGAATCTGATGCATGGGTAGGTAGTTACAGCATTAAATTGTTTATAATTGTTTATTTAAACAGACTTAAGGCTTACTAGATTTATGGGAGTTGTGGAATGAGATATTTCTAGAAATATGAGATGCTCCAGATTATGACTGGGGAAAGATGTTTAACTGGAACTGAAGAATAATGTCTAAGCTTGTGTTCCTCTTGCTATTTCTCTCGTATCTCCATTTCTTCAATCTACTTTATAGAGGAGGGAGAGGCCAACTGCACTACACCAACATGATGCTATTGCCCATAACCTTCAAATGAAAATGGCTTCATCTCAAAGTGAGTTGATTTTGACTGATAATACTGTACATCCACAATTTACAAGCATGAAAACAGCATACATTAATTCATGACCAATATCTCCCAACATTGTAATGAATATCTTGCAGGCATACAAGGGCTTCTTATGCATATAGGCCATTGATTTGCACCAAGAACTCATTCTAACTAAAGTATCTAGTACTGCATCAAAATCAAGCAAAACTTATTTTCTTTAAAAAAAATAAATACGTATACCTAAACAAATTTGTCTTACCTTTTTTTTCACCGCATTCTAATAATTGTGATCCATCTGATTTTGTATTTGAATGGATGAGGCTACATGGGAACAGCCTTGCATCAGAACGCAGTACATGTTTTAAAGGTACTTTTTTTGGTTGTGTTTTCTGAAAGGTATGCCTGTCTTGACTATCCACACCAGCTTTCAAAATAGGTGGAATTCTTGTAGGTGTCTTTCTTGGTGGATTCCCAGGAATTTTAGTAAGAGAAAGCCAATCCATTGTACAGATCTGCTGACAAAAAAAAAAAAAAAATAGCTGTAACAATCATTACTTTCAGTCAGATATTATTTCTGCCACTCTACTGCTATCAATCTTTTAATCCAGACTTCCCACAAAAGTTACAAAACAGTACTGTTCCTAAAGGAAACACAAAACCTCACATTATGTTACCAAATAAAATCATTGCATTATTATATAAAATCAGCATGACATGATGCCAGAAATTTAGGCCTTAATTACAGGTCTGTCTATATCCTACTGTTCTTCTACCTGCAGTTCCTGATTTTTCTCATTAACCTCAAGAGTGCAAGGCAATTTTAGAGAATCTCAGGGGCAATGTATCATTTGCAGAGGACTATGATAGTAATAATAACTCAGTTCTCATGAATACAGGTTCACATCAACAGGGACCTCTTCTAACCTATGCATAGTCACTTAATGTCTGCTTAGCGCCCACATCAACTGTGCACGCATAAAATTCTCTCCAGAAGATTAGGAATTTGAGAAAGCAGCATTTCTAGTTGCCCTGTGCAAGCAAATACAATGCATATATTCGGGGGCGAAATCACAGACTTTCCCATTTCTTATAAGTTGTGTTTGTAATTTCTCTTTCCTCCTACTTACTTTAATTGCTTGTTCTTCCCACAATATTTTTAGCAAGTGTAGATAGATCACTTCCTTTTGTCCTTACATTATCACTTGCTACAATTCAGTAAGGAATAAATTAAAGGATAAAAAGTTAGATATCCAGCCATGTCTTCTTCACCAAATAGTGGCAGAGATGAATTTATCATTCACCTTCTGTCTTTTATGGGAGGAAGAAGGGGACTCTGTGTCTTTCATGGAGAAAGAAATAGGAAAAGAAAGGAAAAGAAAGGTAGAAAATAGGCTGAGCTGAGGCAAACAGATTGATATTGCTAATAGTAGGAATGGATCGGGGTGGGTTTCTACCGGTTCTGTCCACCTCTGTAGAACTAGTAGCTCCACCTCTGTTTTTGCCCACCCGCCCACACGAGCTCTTGCCTGATCTTTATTTCCTGATTTTTCAACTTCAGCTGCCGAACAAGACACAGCCGCAGTTAAAACAGCAGGAAAAGGGGGCTGTTTCAAAGGCTGTGTCTCTGCACACAGCATGCTGATGATGAATTACTGGGAAGCTCGTAAATCCCAAACCCGTAGTTAACCCTTTCATATCCCACCCCTGGAATGGATCCTATTTTAAATACCAATTGCAGTCTCCTACTTTATTCTATGAACTTGTAATTGGATAAAAAATGGGGGGTGGGGACCATTAGGAAAAAACTGGGTTAAAGAAAAACCTTAATGTTTTCTTTCATTTTACAAAAAAGCAAATGGTACAAAAATGGTCAATTGGTCTTATTTTTCACTGCAGATTGCAATGCAACCCCAAATTGTGTATATAATCTCTTGATTTCACTAGAACTTTCTAAGCCTTACACTATAACCTAGAGAACATTTCCAGAGCAATAATAATATTTTTCCCTGAAAAATATTACAGTTTTCATCTGACACTTTTTTTAGCATAAAGGATGCGCAATAAATTATGAAAATAACCATTTACAACTTAAATACTCAAACATTAAACATTAATTTATATTAGATCCTTGGGATTAAAAAGTATAGCCCAGCAATATCAACAATATTGACAAATATAATCTGCTATTGTTACTTTTGAAACTTCTTAGATTAAGCAGATAAAAAGAATAATGTAAGATTGGGGCAAAGAGTCATATACTTAGCGTTCTGCTATTCTTAAGGAGCTGATCAGAACAGACCATAATTGTAAGAGCACCATCCATTGTGTATTCCAGTAATTGGTACTGAAATACATGCTGCATTTTTTAGAAGCATAATATAACCGATTCACAGTACACTCATTGCTTCTTCTGGATGCTATGCTTATTGAGCAATCTGAGCGCTCGCAATATGGGAGAAAAATAGACTATCAAGCTACTTTCTCTGCACATATTTTTACACATCTCAGCTTTATCAGAACTTGCTCACTTTTTTTGAACCTAAAAACTACATACTGCTACCTTCTCAAGAACTCAGCCTTAAGGCTCAGCCTTAATTAACCTCCTTCAAGTGTCTCTCCAAGTCACTCCCCCCCTCCAAAAAAATATTGTTGGAAGATATGTGCATGTCTTTGCACATACACACAGGTAGAAACTCAATGATTCTACTGCTAAATGAAGTAGCACATGTACAATAACTGAATTGTACAATATGAAAATAATATTATAAAACATACTGCATATTAAAAACATTTCAAAATAGTAAAAAAAATAGTTACATTCACTAAGTTCCATCTCAAATACGAAAACAATCCTATTTTTATGGTCAGTTAGTACAGAGGTGACCCATTATTTCTATAGTCCTGATTTTTCAGTTCAAATAATTCCTATTGCACCAAACTGATTGTCAAACATTTTAACCTTAATAATCACCCTAGTTCTAGGTTTTTAGAAAGCAATCATCACTTATCTGGCCTCATTATATAATCCATTATATAAGAGGGTTAAATCTGTATTTCTTAATCTGCATTTCCTCAAAAAAAAAACAGGGCTAACTTTTCAGCACGTAGACATTCTACTGCTTCAAGATAATGACAGACATAGATGGCTAACCCAGTGATAAACATGATAAATTTACCAGAGCCTCTATGTCTTTTCTTTCTGAAAATGGTCACGTTCTGCTTGACAGCTGATGGTCTCATTACAAAGGATAAAAAACATAGATGGCAAATTGGAACAAATAATCATCAAAGTCATGAGTAAGTCACCTCTTCATCTCTCTAATCTTCAGGTTGAAGAATGCTATGCACAAAGGCAATAGAAAGCAGGGGGGGGACACTGGATTTTGGAAAGCCATGCCCCACCAAAGGAACAGAATCTTCCTTTCTTGCAATGGAGGGAATTGTTCAAACTCAGTTAAATTGTTCAAACTCAGTTGAACAATTTGAATCTAATGCAGAATTGCACCAATAGCAGGAATTGGTATTTACGGACAATGGATACTAGTTTTGTCTCATTGGAGGTGAGAAGTTTAACTCTTGGTACCCTTTTCTCTCTTTCTGTCTTTCTCCTCTTTTGGTATAATTAAACTAGAAATACACTCCAGATATTAATGTTTCTTCGATAGAGTCAGTTAGATTATAATCCAAAAATCCCAATGAGTTTCACCATAATCCATTGAACTTTTTCAGACAAATCTCAACTCCTACTGAGAATTATTTTGTCTTTAATACTGCAGTTACATTATTCTCAATAACTATACTGTTCAATCAGTTCTAAGTACTGTTTGGAATCCACATATGTATGAAAATAAGATCATTGTTTTTCATTAAATATTCTGCATGTACATATAAGCTATAAGTACCTATATGAAATATTTCTTTCTGAATGTTTATTTTACACTTTTATTAGTTTAATCGTTAATTTAAAAAAAACTACAACTTAACAAAGTTACCAACTACTTAAAATTAGTAAGTATTCATTCCCATTAACTTGCTATTCCTATACTACTACCAAACAAGTTTTAAACTCTATCTATCTATCTATCTATCTATCTATCTATCTATCTAATATCAATCCTTACCTTCATTATATTTTTTTTAGATGCCACACTACTACAACAACCCGAATATTTAGCTACCAGCCTCAGGTTAAAACCCTTTTATTAAAAAGATACACCCCAACACTTTCAAAGATAACCTATTTTATTTCTCTGTTACTCATGCTATCATGAAAGTCATCTTAACATTTAGTCACTAAGGCCCTTCCTGTAATTTAGTGATTCTCACTGTACATCGCTAACATTAAGACAAGATATTTTTAAACTCCTGCTCCTATCCCTCAATCATGCTAGCTTAAGAGCAATAATCTTTCATCAGTCCTTCACTTTATCTGTTAAAACCATTGCCAAGTGCCAAAAGTCAGGTCATTTTTTTCTTCATTATTTTAATTTTTTTATTTTGCATCCTTATTGCAAGGCATTGTCCTCTGGCTTCTCAAATTTATTTTTTTTAACATTTTAATTGTTTTATTTGCAGGTATACTTTCAATGAAAACCTTTTCTTTATACCATATTTCATTTCTTCTATTTATCTTTATCCATAAGTTTCTATATTGGCTGCTTACCAATCATCAAGTACATATTTTGTCACTGCATTTATGACTTATGTCCCTCTCTTCTATTTTTTCCTTTCAGCTCTGATCAGCTTTATGTGCTCTGTGTTATTCTGTATGTAGTCCAACCATTTTAGCCTCTCCTTGGATATCTAGCATTGATTCCCCTGTTTATATCATAAATGTAACCGTGCAATTCACAGCCACTTAAATACTACATTTAGTCAGCCCTTGGTGGAATCTTATCTAAAGAGTCCAGAGTTTCTTGCAGGTGTGATTCTTCCCAGGAGACCCCCATTAAAACACAAGATTGACAAGCATTGACAGCCTGTTACTGAAAATGAAGATCACAACTCTTTTATCCTTAACATTTTTACACACTTTACTTATTGCCTATCATTTCATCATTCTTTATCACTCTCATCAACTACCATAGATACTATTTTTCATAAAATAGGATCTCCCTTTGCTTTTCCATTGGTTGTTAAGGTATGTTTCAAGAAATAGGTGTGCCTTCTTTATGTTGATCCTATAGGACAGGGGTGTCAAACTCACATAGTTACAAGAGCATCATGTGATATATCAGGACTTTTTTCCCCTTTGCTAAACTGGGCATGGGTGTGGCCAGAGCTTGACGCATCTGACCCGCGGCTGGGAGTTTGACAGCCTTTCTATAGAATACATAGCCTAGGATATTTTAACCTCCTCTTTGTAAGGCACATATAATTTTTTTGTTGTGAAGCTAATATCTAAAATAGTCAGAGCCAGTTCTGATACTCTCCTAGAATATTTGCCATAGTATCTCTGACCAGTTAAAAACCACCAGTTTAGCAGATGGGAATTGTTTAAATT